AAAAGTCCATAAGGGATTTCCAGGTACCAATAAATGTAGATATTGTCTCTTCTCAAATCAAATACATCAATTTAGCCATTTCAGCAAGTTCTGTCATCTTCACCAACCAGTCCTCCATTGTAGGTATTGCCAAATCTTTCCATCTTTACTCATACAATAATCTCGCTGCAGGTATCATACATAAAACAGTGTTCTGTGGCTTTTTTCTAGCTGTTTATCCATCAGTCCCAGGAGGAAAAGTTCTGGTTTCAACTGAATGTTAATCTTTAAAATCCTCTGAATCACTGTATGTATTTGAGCCTTCAGCAAAAGATTCTTTCTGCGCTTCCAGCCATCGAAAAGTGGTATCATCAGCATGTTTGAGGCTGCTGATGTTGCTCCTAGCAATTTTAATTCCGATTCCTATTGCTTCTAGTCCAGCCTTTCTCATGATATATTCTGCAGATTAGTAAAACAAGCATTGTACAAACCACACACAATGTTGGTGTACTCCTTTCCCAGTTTGGAATCATTTAATTGCTCTATATTCTGTTCTAACAGTTCCTTCCTGGTCCTCCTACCAATTCTTCAATAGATAGATTACGTGGCCTGGTACCCCCATGTTTCAAGGGCTATTCACCATTCATTTGTGGTCTACACAATCGAAAGCCTTAATGTATTCAATGAAGCATGAAGAGTATTTTTGGAATTTCTTTCCCTTTTCCATTAGCCATCAAATGACAGCAATGGGATCTTAATTGCTCCTGCTTCCTCAGAATCCACGTGCATCGCTGGCAATGCTCGTTCCACGTATTGTTTGAGAGTTCCATACACTGCCCATTTCTTACACCCCACTTAATATTGCCATGCACACAATGCTTCTCCAAAAACAGAGAATCTGAAGGGGCAATGCTACCAGATCTAGGACTCAACTACATTTGGGGTTAACATCATTAATGGAATTAACATGGATGGATTTGTTTGTCCAGGCACAGCGGGAGATATTAGAAGTTTAATTCCTTCTTGGCTTGTCTGAATTGCTACTGTAATAGTATTTCAGGACAGTTGATATTGGTGATCTTGGGTGCTGTGCAAAGAGCATTTTCTCTGTTTCTTCCTCCACAAAGAGCACTTTCCAGAGGGAGCTTTTGTTTGGATCCGTGTGGGGAGAAGACACAGAGTAGCAGGAGGAGAAAGGTAGTGGGGACTTTGCCTCCTCACTCCCTTCAGCCAGTAATACCATCAAGGATGGGCTTTAGCTGTGCAATCTTTTCTTTTCTTTCTTTTTTAAGATTGAGGGCCATTCTTGGTCTTTGCATGTCAACCTTGGAGTTGCATTCAAAATAGTAGACAAGACCAGGGCAAAAAAGACAATGTGATTTTATGCATAGCTAATTTGAAAGATATTAAATTAATTAGACCCAGTAATTATGATATTAAATTTATCTGTATGCACTTAATAGTTTCTTCATTCAATATTAAATCCTAATTTCTCCATTATGTATTAATCCCGCCTTTATGTTTTTAATCATTGCCCTCTGGTATCCCATGATAAATTGCAGTTTGGCAGCTGGGGGCACATCGCAGGTTTTCAGGGGCTGCATGACCTCAAACTGTATACTTCATATTGAGGGAAAGGGTTTAGGACAGTGTTTTTCAAACTTGTCAACTTTAAGATGGGTAGGCTTCAACTCCCAGAATTCTCTAGCCAGAATGCTGGCTGGGGAATTCTGGGAGTTGAAGTCCACCCATCTTAAAGTTGACAAGTTTGAAAAACACTGATTTAGGGTGACAGCAGGAGAAGGAAGACCTCTAAATGAGCAGACTGGCTTGCCATATTTTGAAGGGAGTGAATACAGGTAATTTTCAACTTACGGCCATTTGTTCAGCAACCATTCAAAGTTATGGCAGCACTGAATGAAGGGACTTATAACCGGTTCCCAAAGTTATGGCTGTGATCACAGTTTTGATCACAGGATTGTACCCCCACAATCATGTGATCAAAATTTGGGCATTGGCAGCCTGCCCGCGCTTACGACCATAGGGGCGCTTCAACTCTACCCACCTGCCTATCTCCCCCCCATCTATGCCCTTTTGGTCCCCTGCACTCTGCGGCCCCTGCTGCCCTAGCTGATCTTCGCGCCGCGCTACTGGGGCTTCCCGGGGGCGGGGTTCAGCTTCGTGCCGCACTGCTGGGCTGGGACAGTTGAGGCTTCCAGGAGCAGCTATGGTTTTGCACCGCAGGGGTTTCTTGCAGTCCCAGAGCTATGGCGCACCAAGAAGCCTCTGAAACACAGTATGGCAAGCAGCCCCAGAGCTGTGCAGTTCTGGGCTTGCTTGCTACCCCACAAAGCAGGTTGCAGGGTGGCCTAAAGGGCAGAGAGGTGTGGGGGGAGATAGGCAGGTGGGGGGAGTTGAAGAGGAGGCAATCCCTTGCCTTATCAAGGCTTGGGATTGGGAGGGACCAAGCCCGGAATGGCTTGGATTGGGGTGGGTCCTCGGCTAATGACCGGTGGAATTTGCTTAATGACAATTGCTGTCGGTAAGCAAGAGGTCATGTGATGTCGTGCTTTACGACTGCATCACTTAGCAATGGTGATCTTGGTCCCAATTGCCATCATAAATCGAGGATTCCCTGTAATAGGCTTTAATATAGGATGCAAAAACCATAGCTTCCAGGCCACGTGCAATTCTCAAAGCCTCCCCCTGCCCCCCCCCAAAAAGTATACAGGCACAAACCTTTCAGTCCTTTTGTTTGCATTTCTGGAGTTTGAGATCAGATTCTGAAAAGGTCAAGCACTTGCTTTTCGTCTTGCCTTCTTGCAGAGGCTTACAGCATAATTCCATTCCTTGAACACTGTCAGCCCTCCCCCGAACCCTCCGGTCCTGACCCCACCCACTTTGGGGAAGGGTGTGGCCCTTTATTTGGTGGGCAAAGCCTGGCACGGCCCTCGAGCTGATAGAAGTTGTACACTCCTTTTACTATTTCAAGAAGAGATCCTTCTACATCCAGTTTCTTAACCTCATCATTTCCTACAGTCCCAAGACCAGGGTTGGAGATGTCTTGGGGCTCCTATTTCCATATGGTTTGTCTCCCTGTTTATGGCGGTTTATGGTGTCTTTAAAACATGAGCTTTAATGAGGTTCCAGCAGCTGAAAAGAAAGGGCAGGGAACCCAAGGCATTTCTGCAAGAACAAGTGGGCATCCTAGCCCCCAGAGTAGCCCGTTCCACCTTGACACTCTTGATGGGCAACTGCAGTGAGATTATTATATGCTCAGAAGTGGAAAGGTTTGGCGTTACCCACAATGGAGGAACAGTTGGTGAAGTTGATGGAATTTGCAGAGATGGCTAAATTAACGTTGTTGATCAGAGAAAAGATGATATCTACATTTATTGCTGACTGGAAACCCCTTACGGGCCTTTTGCATGAAACAGAAAAAAATGAATTTATGATTTGTGGTTTTGATAATTAGAAAGAAAAAAGAAGATAATAGAAAAAAGGGAGCTTTTCTTTTTGTAACCATAGAGTAAGATACAACTTTGTAACCATATTTGTATTTGCTGCAAAGGAAATCAGAAGCTATTTCTGTTTATCTTTTCTTTTTGCACTTTTGTCTTTCTTTTCTTTCTCTTTTTTCCTTCCCCCCCCCCATATTGGTTTTTGTTAGTTTTATTCTTCTATTTAAAACTTTTAATAAAATTTATACACACACACACACACACACACACACACGCACGCACGCATAAATATAAGAAACTCTTGATTGGTGCTTCTCTCAAGCACTGTGCATGCACTGAAGAAAACAGCCAGCTTCTGTTTCTCAGATCTACACCTGGCTCTGCAGCTGGAGGGCTTCACCTTCTCCAAATGCCCAGGGGTGTCTCCTCCCAACACGGTCTCACCCGCTCCCTCTGAAGGGCCACAGATCCCCCATGCAAATGGCCTAGCTAGCAATGGGTAGACCAGTACCCTTCCCAAGACATTCTGGCTCAAATCTTAACAGCAATCAAAAGTCCTGAGCCAGCACATATCCTCCCCTCCCACCACCCCCAGTTCAGATTTTTCCCTGCCCCTGTCAGAGTTAAGCCCGTTGGCAGAAAAGAAAAATCACCGTACTCTTTATTCTGCTCATGAATCATAGTTGCCCTCTCCCTGGCTTTTAGTCTCATCCCCGTAATGTTCCATCTCAGCACAAAAAGGGACGTTTTCCAAAGCAGGTGACAACAGTCCCCACCCCGCTTTATTTTTCCTAAAAGCAGTCTGGCTCACTACAAGGGAAAGGAGGGCAGGTCGAGCATGGCCAACCAGCTCACAGGACGACGCTGTGGTTGCCTGGCTGTCTCTGCTAAACGACCCAGCAGCCAAGGCATTGCTTCCGTGATGGAAGACATGACAGCGTCTGGAGGAAGTGATGGGGAAGAAAAGCTCAGCAGTCATCAGGGTTATCTCTCCGCTAAAAACAAACATTTCCGAACCCACAAGTTCAGGTTATTTCCGATTGCAAATGTTACGTAAGTCATTTCAAGAGCAAAGCGGGTGTCAAGCAGAAGGAAGTAGTAGCACCTACTCAGGCCAGGTTCCCCTCCTACCAAGGGGCTTGATGTAATGGGAAGAAGGAAGAGCCTTGAGGAACAGGAGGAAGAGCTGCAACCAAGACAACGGTCTGATAAAGGAAATCTGAGTCCGGGGCAGAAATGTAATTTGAGAAAGCGTCTCAGATCTGAGTCTCCCTAGTTCTCATGAAGCTAAAGGAAGGGAGGGTGAAGCACATGCAGACTTGTAAGATTCTATTATTATAACCTATAATAAAAGTATTAGCTTGTGAATCTTTGGTTTCCAGGTTTGGTCTACCTTGGAGAGCTGACACTTCCACCCCATGATCAGGGGTGACAAGCTGTGGCCTCAAGAATGCACGCATCCCTTGGCTTACTTGCAAAGCCAGACTCAGCACCAACTGGGATCTCTCCCATCCTCAGTTGCTCCAAGGGCAGAGAAGAAGAAATGGGGTGGGATGGCAGAGAGAGAGAGGAGAAGGGAGAAGGGACAGGAAAGGAAGCAGCAGTTGTAAAAGTTGTAGATGAAGAGACAAGCAGAAAAGGATAAAGTAGCATAGGAAAAAGGCAGTGCTGGAATATTCCCCCCCCCCACCTTTAACAACAACAAAAAAATCATAAAGAACGTAGAGATGACCTTGGAAGAGAAGAACTGTTATGGGAACTGAAACAACAACTCGGTCCCTGGAAAGTGAAAAGCATGAGAGAGATACTCAAAATAGTCTTGCCTTAATTCTCTTTGGTATAAGATGGGGCAGAGAGAAACACGAACAGGCTTTCAAGTTACAGGTAGTCCCCAATTTAAGAACGAGCTCCATTCCCAAGGCCTATCCTTAAGTCAAATTTGTATGTAAACCAGAACAGTATTATTGTATAATACTGTATAAGTAGTAGCGTGTAATGAACTTGAACCATTGTGTATTTAACTCAAATTTTGCTACAACAGGCTCTGTTCTTAACTTTGGGTCGTCCTTAAACCAGGCATTCTTTACCCGGGGACTCCCTGTACTGCTATTATATCCTAAAACAATACATTCCTGGAGTCCTTGCAGTGTCTGTTTCTTGACCCGGCTTTCTAAAATTCCTTACAGTAGCACTCCCCAATCTTGGCACCTCCCTGATGCACCAGGGCTTCAGCTGTCAGAATGGGCCACATTTTCAGGCAGAGCTTCTGCAACGTTTGCTTGAAATCTTGGAGAGCTGCTGGTGGTGGTTGCTAGCCAACAAGCCTTGATCAGGCTAACTTTGTTGATAAGACAGTAAACACCGTATGGACTTGGGGAGGGAGTAGCTTGTGGTGAAATCCCCCTTGATCATTATTAGCTTGAAAGCAAGCCTCCACGAACAGACACATATTATCACCTGGACATCAGCGCCTTAAGACATGTGCTTCTCTACCCAGCTGTAACTTTCACATCCTTGACAATACCCTTTTTTTCACCCGTGTGTGCAAATTTCAACCAGATAGACAAGATATAGTATGTATTCCACTACCCCACCCCACCCCATACCTAACCTACCAACACAGAAGAATGCAGTGCTTTTGGTAGGCATTTCATTTCATTTCTGTACTACCGCTTCCCTTAAAAGGCGAAGAGGATGGTGCACAGCCCAAAATTATTTCTTAGAAAAGGGACAGTAATAATCCACGAAAGCACAATATAGAAACAAATATTAAACCCACTTCAAACTGCAGTTGAAGGAATACCCTTTTGAATTCTCCCACGTCCGTAAAAGAAACTGCCGGCAAGAAGAAAACTTGATTTTATCCTCTCCTCCTTGCAAGTAGAACATTGTCCTAGCAGAAGGATGATTTGCAGAGGAGAGAGTTCAGCACTAAGGTCCTTCAACCTGCAGATCGACATGTACCCCACCCCATTTCTTTAATCCATGTTTTGCAATGCCACATCATTCCTGCACCCAAGGCTACATTCTACCGCTTCTGGAGATCACCGCAAGCTGGGAGCTGTTGAGGGATAAATAAATAATCAAATGGCAAGAAATCAAAGTGACATCTGAGCAAGAGTTACATTCCCGGTAATAACTTGCTGTAAATCATGCTGGGTGTGTAAGGCCATCATTCTTTTCCGCTAACATGTTCTGCTGTGATACTG